AGCTCATAGCGCAAGTTGCTTGAAGTCCAGTGTTAAGTTTACACAGTCTTTGATGATTTGGGGTGCAATGTCATCTGCTGGTGTTGGTCCATTGTGTTTTTTGAAAACCAACGTCACTGCACCCGTTTACCAAGAAATTTTGGAGCACTTCATGCTTCCTTCTGCTGACCAACTTTTTGAAGTTCATTTTCCAATTTTCCAGCAGGATTTGGCACCTGCCCACACTGCCAAAAGCACCAAAAGTTGGTTAAATGACCATGGTGCTTGACTGGCGGAAAATGAGAAACAAGAGACCAAAAAATGCAGATGAGCTAAAGGCCACTGTCAAAGAAACCTGGGCTTCCATACCACCTCAGCAGTGCCACAAACTGATCACCTCCATGCCATGCCGAATTGAGGCAGTAATTAAAGCAAAAGGAGCCCCTACCAAGTATTGAGTACATGTACAGTAAATTAACATACTTTCCAGAAGGCCAAAAATTCACAAAAATTTTTTTTTTATTGGTTTTAAGAAGTATTCTAATTTGCTGAGATAGTGAATTGGTGGGATTTTGTTAAATGTGAGCCAAAATCATCACAATTAAAAGAACCAAAGACTTAAACTACTTCAGTCTGTGTGCATTGAATTTATTTAATACACGAGTTTCACAATTTTAGTTGAATTACTGAAATAAATGAACTTTTCCATGACATTCAAATTTATTGAGATGCACCTGTAGTTTTCAGTCAGAACTCATTGCACACAGCGTGATTGTGAATCGCCGACAGCTCCAGATATTTAGCATGCCAAATATTTTGCGGGCGTCGGCGATTCCCTCAGATCGCGTCTTTGATAATTCACACTGCGTGATTTTCACTCGCGTGAACGAACACCGATTTGCCTCCGATTTCAGGCATTTGTCGCGATTTCGAAAAACCTGTCGGCGAGTGAAAAATCGGGCTAAAATCGTGCAGTGTGAACTCGGCATAAAGAGCTCAGTCAGTTTAAGTGCATGAGCCTTGGTGATGCGACTGAGAGAAATCTGCATTTTCTATAGCCTACATCTGTTGGCTAGACACATCGATCTGTTTCAAGTCTAAACAGGCCAGTCTCTTTCAAAAGCACAGTGAGTGGTCATGCTGTCATGCAGTGACTTTTGAGCTCTGTAAAAAAAAAAAAAAAAAAAAAAACAAGTTATGAAATTTCAATAATATCAGTGATTTCAGAAAAAAAAAAAATTTTAAAGGATGGAATGTTTAAAATACCACATTTAAATAAACATTAATGCTTTAATAAATAGAATACCTCTTTGTAAAATACTGCCAAGTTAGTTAATTATGATAAAAGAAAATGCTCCTCTCTATATATACATATGATCCTATACAGGCTTTATGTACTGTTTTGTTTTTGCAGTTTCTTCATGTGTTCTGGGGTGTAACAATGGCTTTACCTGTAGTTTATCAGGAGCAGTGATAATCACAGTGGCCACTAAAGCACCAGCTGAAGCTCCAGCACAGGCTTTTAAAGAGGACAGCAGCTTATCTCCATGTCTCAGTAACGCCTCTGTTACTCCCAGATGATATGCTCCTAAAAACCCAGCCGCAGCAAATGATAAATTCACCACCGTCATACCTGTGAACTGATGATAGATACTTTAACTTCAAGTTTAAAGATTAAAACTGAACATTTTGGCTTGGAGAGATGTTGAGGTACACGCAGTTCAGTCAATTATTACATGTGCGACCAAATAGTGTACGCCTTGCGGATTACAATTCTTCATCAGATTTGATAAACTAAAGCCATTTAGTAATGTGTCAAAATATGCACGTAAATTAATGATTTCAAATGACTTCAGCAGCCTATACAGTCTATGCTTGCTAACAGATGTTGTAGTGTATTAAGTGGTGAAGTCCCTGAGATAAACACATCTCATTAGTTATTAAGAAGCATAACCTTGGCTAAGATTGAGAGGGCCTTTGTGGTTTAATTGTTCCTGCCCTGTCTGGATCACCTCTTCATTGCTCAAAATCACTTCACAAACATGTAAGGTGCTAGAGGTTGTGTGTGTGTGGGTACACTCATCCTAGGCCTTGTCCCATGCAGTTGCCACACTTAGTGACTCATGTGTTCTTGAAGTCCACAAGGCTGCAGGGTGTCCCATTTCTCATTTTAGATTTCACTATGGTGCTGTTTTGAGGAAACTGCTATCTTTTGAAGATCGCTTCACACTACAAGCTCTGAACAAACAAGTAGGCCTAGCTAAATACACCAAAGTTACTTAAGGGTGTAATATGTTTTAATAAAGAAAAAATATATAACCATCCAGTAATGTAATTCATAATTTAAAGGGATAGTTAAAAATTAACACACAGACAAAATACACAATGACAATAATATACTCAATGGCCTGAAGAAATATGTGTGTTCATTCAAATAACGGTTTTTCTATGAATTAACTAGAACACAGTCATTTCTACTCTGCTTTTCCTTGGGACAAGCAGGGATTTTCCCTGCTTTACATACTTTTGGCCAATAAACCCAGTGATATCAGCGTTGGTTGCCATGCAACAAAGAAGCCTGTTCGACTTCCTGGGGTGTTACGCATTCCGGGGGGAAGGGTCCATGGGTCCTCATATGGCTTGTTAACTGAGGTTACAGAGTATTTGTCATATAAAAAGAGAATATATAGTGTGTTGGATTGGTCCAGACGCTACAGTATATACTTTGCATCCTCCAATCACCCACAATCCTTGGCACACATTTCAAATCCCAAAAAAGAACTGGCGGAAAATGAGTCGGCACTGAGTTTGTCCAATTTTATTATGAAATGCAATACAAAATGTTTTTGGAGATGAATGCATATTTTCTTTTGTTGTAAATTAATCACATAATGTTAAACTGTCCATAATGTGCTCCACTGGGAGACCACAGATGGTTGTTATTCACTGTTTTACATGATTAGAAAGTTAGATAATATAAAGTATTTTTCACAAATTAATTTTGAATACTATTTTTGAGCCATTACCAAGGGTGCGGAAACAGCCTTGTTGCCATGTGGACTTCCTAGACCATCTCATAGCATTTGAGGACTCTAGCCCAGAAGCATCAGAAGGATTGATGCTGCTTTTTAGATTGAGAAACACCAACTGAATCATTTTCTCAGCTGATTCATTCAAAGCACTGATTCATATACGTATGAAACAAGTGAATGACTGTGTCCAAAGGTCATTCATTTCTTATTTTATTTTTACTTTCATTCACAAATCCTCTCCCATGGCCTCACAGTAAGGTAAAGTGGCCATTATGCACACTTCAGAATCTCGCTGGGAGTACAATAGCAGGTCATATGGCTACATTTTGCCCACTGTTTTATGAATACTATGAATTTGGACATCATCACTCTTTTGACATACTGTTTTTCACCAGCTATATAGCGTGAAATATGCATAGGCTGGTGCATACACTGTCTTTATGAGTAAGTCGTTGAATCATTCATTCAACTAATTTGTTCGAAAACAGTTTCATTCACAAACATCATTATTATTGCGTGTTATTGTGTGACACACAAGTTAATTCTGCTATGTAATAGTTTAAAACTATTTTAATTTGCAAAGCAAAAATAGAAAAAAAATGGTAATATTGTAATATGCTTATTGAACTGTTACCTAAAAACAATATCACACTCACATTTGTGCATGTTGGTCTGAATATCTGCATAGCTGTCATTACTGTCAGCTGTTCACAACATGGGTTCTTTAAATATGTTTCTTAAACAATTCAAGAATATAATATTGACACATGTGACAATAGATTTCACTTTGAGGGGATTTGAATTAACAGAGTCCCTAAAGTAACAGTTTCTCTCTGTGATCTTCCCATATCTTTCTCAAGAGGCAATATACCTTTTTGGCAGCAGTTAATAAGGACAAATTCTTAATCACGAAAAGCTTCTCAGAGATATATGTCTGCAGAAAATAAGCTGTCTCTGCCTGTGCCTCAATAAAAATTATACTTTTTTAATACTCCGTGCCGGGCTTAATCACAGCTAATTAAACTTTCCTAGCTAATACCTATCATAGGGGGATTCATTCTCATCCAGCAGATGGATAAACTGGGCTTTAAGGTGCTTGTTTTCACACAGTCACTGACAAAGTCAGTGCAAGGTCACATACTGTAGATAGTGAAAATCTGCCCCTAAGATCAAATGGCCCCTTTAGATAGAGCCGAAAGCCTACTCAAGGGGCAGGGAGGATGAAAGGAAATATGGAGGAGTGGGGATAGAGAGAGAGAGAGAGAGAGAGAGAGGACACAATAGAAGAGTGATGGGCCTCTGCAGAAAAAAAAAGAAGAGATGATAGTGTGTGACAAGAACACAATGATGAGAAGGTGATGCATAGAGTGTAATATTTCAAAAGTGTATGAACAGGGCTGATATACACTGATCTGTTCACAGTGAGCAGCAGACAATTCCCTTTTTAATTTCATGCATTTTGACACATTTTTGAATAAGCAGTGCTGCACTTAATACTATGTTTTGACATTCTTAAGCAAATTCAAAAGTTTTGTAGCACAATTGTATTTCTACTTCTCACAAAAAACACACATTTTGACAATAACAACCTTGGTATTTTATTAAATAGAACGTGCGTCTATACATTTACATTACACTTGTATGCATTTGGTATGAGCTTTTACCAAAAACGACTTATATTTTCATTCATTCCCCTGAGAACTGTAACTTGAGAAATTTATTTTAAATTACAGTGCACTTGTTAAATTTGGAATTAATTTCATTTGAGGTAGCAAACAGGATGCGGCATTTTTAAATTCAAAGAGGAATCTAAGGAAGCATACTTCTATAGAATTCCTATAACTGCAATTTATAATGAGAAATGTTGTCTCTTATCTTTTGCCCTTTTTTTAAAGTTTTGAAAAATGCATTGAATCAGACAAATTGTATCAAAGTTTAAAGATTTGAAAACCTAGCAGAGAGAGAAAATTATGGATGGATAGGTAGATATGCTTGGAAATACTAGAACGTTTTATTTAGTTTACATATTTCATCCTATTTCAGAAATTACAGTATTGCAGATACTGTAGTTGCAGATACGGTATGGTGTTTTGTAGTACATTGTAAAAAAGTATGCAATAATAGCATATTCAGTGTGTATTATCATGTTTATTAAAAGCAAGCATCTTTATAATAAATTTGAATTACAATTAAGTAAACTGAATTCAGTATTTTTTTCTTCCTGCCATTCCAATTTAAATTCCAATTCTACATTTCACACAATCCTGGCTAAAAGACCCCTTTCTCTACCATTTGAGTTACATGACCATATATCCTGTACATTAGAAATTGGAGGAAAGAAAAAAAAAAGAGTAACATTTCTTACAGACAGTATCCCACCAAAAAAACAGGAAATGCAATATATAATGGAATCATCCAAGTGAGATTACAGGCGCAAGGTATTGTTCAATGTGTCATCTCAAACATCTACTTGCACAGACATCAGCCATAGAGGTACTGCAGGCCTCCAACAATCTGTGAGATTGCTGTGTGTCCCAGAAGATAAAGCGAGGAAGGACCATTAAGGGGAGGACCATTGGATATCTTCGAGAAGTGGGAAAGAAAGAAAGAGGAAGGGAGAGATTGTAATTGGGAGTCTCATAGCGGATTGCTGTGGATTGTGTGGAGAAATCAGTATCAAATTTAAGCCTGGGTCACAGCTAAACTCAATCTTTGTCTGGCAAGGGATAAACCAAAGGAAAAATGGTTCTGCTTTCTTCGACTCTGAACAACAGGGAAAGAGGGTCAGCTTTCAAAAACAAATTTATATACGAAATTTATCTGACAACATCAAACAGGAACATTTAAGCCATGCAACCAAGAATAGACAGGCAATGTAGCCAATTTAGAGCAGTACTGGGCACTTATCTATCGCACATTCACATTTATATTTATAAATTCTCACTGCCTCCTCACTGAAAATTTCGGTATTTAGGATATTTTTCGGATAGGCAAATATTAGAATAATCCTGTATTTAGTTTAGTCAACTGAAATTCAGTGATACTTTATATATGCTATTCAGAAATAATTATTTTAGAGTAACTACTTGTACCCAGGAGAAAACTGATTATTTGCACCCTAGTGTACACTTTTCAGACCGTGATGACACTTTTCCACAGTTATTCCACAGTTATTAATGCAATATACTGTAAATTTTTATGCAACACTTCTGTCTGGTCTTTGAATCTGATTGGCTGAGAGGAGTGCACGGAGTGATAACAGAGCTCCAAACGTTTCACTATTTGTATCACTCCGCTTGCAGTATTTCTCACAGTGAGTGTCATGGCAGATGCCCAAATCCACTATAGTTTTATAAATAATACTGTTTTTGTGTCACAGAATATAGTTTTAAGAGTTTTTTTAGGAGAATATGTACTTGTTTAGACTTCAAATATGCAATTACTGTCTATTTGAAAATTTGCTTCGATGTTTTCGGAGATGTGAGCTCCAGGATGTCAGCGGCCGTTCAGTGCTCATGAACCCACTGTGAGCAGCCTTACCTGGCCCTGTCTCTATGGTGGTTAAACATGAGATATAATTCATTTTGGGTAAATCTTAACAG